GGGCCGGGCCAGTGGCCTCACAAGCCCTGCTGTCTAGACGGCCAACCCTGGCTGCTGCCCCAGCCCAGCCACCACCCTCCGGCCGGCAGGGACAGGAGCCACTATCCACAAACACTTCACGGCACCCACAGGACGCCAAGCGCCAAGCGCGTGCCGCAGAGGGCCCGTGGGTGGGGGCCGGGCAGACTCGTCTGGCAGCGGCAAACAGGACATGCTCCGAAAACCAGCCCGGCACCGCAGGAGCAGCCTGGCTGGGTACCACCCGGAGTGCGGGCAGTGAAGGCCGGGGTAGGGGGAAGCGACGAGGCGGCGTTTTACCTTGGGAGAGCCATTTAACCCCTCTGAGCGCCCGCTTCCTCATCTGTAAGATGGGGGAAATACTCTGCCTGCCCCAGAGGGTGCTGTGAGGATCAAATCGAAGAAGATAAGACGTGAGTCCCGGCACGGCTCCGTCCGAAGCAGGAGCCTCGACAGGCCTCGCTAGCCCCAACCTCGCAGGGGCTCCCGCTCTGTGCTGGGGCCGTGTCCAGGACAGGGCAGGGCAGGGCACTGCCCACCAGGGAAGGCGCCCAGCCAAGCGGGCAGCTGGATGAGCGGGCTCTCACCCCCGGTAAAGGGTGTGGGCCGGCCCAGGCCTGAGCCTCGGCCACGCCCTGCTGGCGTGCTAGCTGCTCTCCCCAGGTGCAAGCAGCGAGGGACTCACCCCTCCCACCTCGCTTCTCCCCCACCTTCCACTCCTTGCCCTTGACCTTGACCACCAGACGCAAATGCCAGAGCGTCCAGGCCAGAGAAGCTGGGGTCCGGTTCAGCCCAGCCCTCAGCAGCTGTGTGACCTGCAGCTCCCTGAGCCTCGGTCTCCTCGTCTGCATGGAAAATCAGCAGCCGGCCTCACCGGTGCGGAGAGCACCGCTCCACAGGGCCGGTGTCGGAGGAGGCAGCCCCCCACGCAGGAACCCATCCCGGCTCCTCAGACCCCAGGATGCTCACCTTGACTACGGGCGGCGTGGGAGGGACCGCAGGGACAATGGGTGCCGCAGGAGGAGGTGGGGCGGCAGCCGGGGGGATGGGGACCGATGTGACGTTGGCCGTGATGGTTGGTACCGGGGTGGCAGCAATGACGGGCGTCTGGGAGACAGTGGGGGGCACGTTCTGAAAGGGGGCCGCCGGGGACACAGAGGACACGGCCGCCACTTGCTGCGTACCTTCGAGACAAGGAGGGGATCAGCACGGCAGGCTGGACCTTCCAGGCGCACCCCTCCGGCCAGAGCCCTCTGCAGGGCGGTGAGCCAGAGGAGCCCCTGGGCTCTGAGACCCCAGCCCTGAGTCTAATCTGGCTTAGATTGGCCAGGGCTTACTAAAGGGGAGACAGGGGACTGATGGAGGCTGGGCGAAGGAGCAGGACAGCCCAGGGCCGGTGGTGAACAGCCAGGTAGGGCGTGCGAGGAGCCCGGGGCTGAACTCAGATCCCAGTCGAGCCACGGGGCCAAAGACGTGGCCTTCTGTAACCACCCAGCTCCCCCCACCTGCAACACGGGACACGGGCAGTGCTGACGTGTGACCTGGCTTGCCTCCATCCGGGTTCCCCAGGGCAGGCCCCAGGCCCACCCTACCAATCACCACCCCAGCAGGGAGCTGTCCCTCCGCCAGGGAGCAAGAGAGGTGACATAGGGACCACTGGCGCACACAGAAGAGACAGGTGCTCGAGGGGAGGGGCAGATGGGGGAGGACAGGGCTATGCGGTGTCCCCACCACAGCTGCCCCAGCGTGACTTGCAGGGACATCAACATCCTCTCAGCCCGACCGGCAACCTCGCCAACCAGGCCACACACAGCCGAGCCCCAGCTCCAAGAATGCCAACAGCCTGCCTCGCCTGACAGGTGGGGCACCGGCTTTGAGGGGCGAGGGCCTCAGGAAACCCCCTACCTGCACTCTGGGATCCTGCAGCCGGTTTCCGCCCCTTGCCCTTTGGAGCTGGGGGCAGTAACTCAACTTCCTCCTGGGGCATCTGGGCCACTTTCTGCAGGAAAATCTTCTCTAAGGCTTGGGCCATCAGCACGATGTCGTCTGTGGGCTGGACAGACAGGGCGGTCAGGGCAGGGCAGGGCCGCGCACCAGCACCACTCCGAAAGCCACCTTCTAAATTTGCTAAGGGAGCTGGTGGGGCAAGAAGGGGCAAAGCAAAGCTATTTCCACATGGAAAATCCCAGGAGACGGACAAGCAAGGAAAGCAGCCTTCACCCCACCCCACAGAGAAGACGTAACGACCGAGCCCTCTGTCCACGCTGACTTTATTCACGGCGCTGTTGCCAGAGACCCGGCGTCGGGGTCCTCGCGCTTCCCTAGCCACTCTCTGAGAGCTGCCCGCAGCGCCCCTGGGCCTGTGCCACGGCTGCAGGGCACAGTCCTGGGCCAGCCTCGGACTGCAGGGCACACGGGGCTCTGGGCTCCCCGACCATGCAGCCACGTGCTTTCCTTCGGGCGTCTAGCTCCGAGGGCGAGGAAGCTCAGAGCACTTCTGAGAATCAGCTCCTTTGAAAAGGCAGCTCCAGTGTCCACTCCCTCCAGCGGGAAATCGGGCAGTAGTGGCCCCTGTGGTCGGGTTCAGGGCGTGGGGTGGTCTGGGCCTGTCCAAGCTGACACCAGCCCAGGGGCCCGCGCTGCCCCGCCCCCAGGCCACGCGGCCGACCTTACCTTGTTGTAAATGTAACAGTTGGTAAACATGGTGTTGAAGTCCTGCATACACTCGCTCGCACTCCAATAATAATTATTCTCTAGTCTCTTCTTAATAGTCCCCATATCCATTGGGTTTTTTATGATTTTATGATAATCCTAGGAGAGAGACCGTCAGAGGCGTTACCGGTGGACTCTACATGACTGTTTTCGCAATTCCCAAGTGAACAACTGCACACAGCACGGTCCTCCTAAAAGCTAGGTGCGGGGCTGGGCCCAGGGCAGTTTCTGGTCACCTGCAGTAGGTGGGTGCGTGGTCTGGGAGAGCATTCGGCCAGCTCCAAACTCACCAACCCTCTGTCCTGGCACATCTGCGCAGAGGCGTGGCATGGAGCCAGGCACCCAGCGCTGGTCTACACACTGCAGAACGGGCTGAGCCCTCTCTGGGGATCCTCCGCCTGTAGGCAGGTGACCGAGGTCTGCAGAGGGCAGAATCCCAGGCCTCCCCCTGCAACACGCAGGGCTCCTCTTTTTTGTTCCGGGTAAAAAATGTGCTGGAGTGCTTACTGCTCCGACAGTGGCCATCAGGTACACCGAGCATCCCATTTCCAAGTGTGCACAACAGGCCGGCGGGGCAGGGTGGGAGGGAGCCTGGCCAGCGCGCAGCAGAGGGCTGAGGCCACGGCGGTTCCAGGCTCAGACCTCCGCTGGACCCAGTAAAGACCTGGCTGCTCCCATGGCCCCTCACGAAATGCCCTGCCCGTCCTGCCCCTCGGAGGTCCACACCACTCCCTGCTTCCTGCTCCTGGGCCCTCACCCGCCCACAGCCCAAGCAGCCCGGGCTGTCACCCGGTCTGGCAGTGGGCTCCCGGAGGCATGGCAGCTCGGGATGGGAGGTGGGACTCACAGGCAGGTTGAGCTTGATGGCATCCACGGGCTGGTAGAAGGGCCAGGCGAACTGGTGCTTCCAGAGAGTCTTCACCACCACGTTCTGCATGTACTGCAGCTGGTTGGTCTTGCGGCCGGGCTTGCCAGGGTTCGAGACCTCTGGTGGAGGCGGATTCGCAGGGCCCGGGGCCACCGGGATCCCCGCAGGGGCGGCCGTGGTCGTGGACATCCTCCAGCAGATGACTCACTTCCCGTCACGGCAGGGGCTGGCAGGGGCCCTCGCTGCTGCTATGCTCCCCGAGGGACCGCGGCATCCCATTTCCAGGCCCAACCAGGCAGCACCTGCGGGGACGAAGGACAGCAGTGTCCTGTGATCCTGGGACCACGCCACCTCCGCTGGCCTCAGTGGGCTAGCAGGCCATGGCGAGGCCTGTTATCACTGCACCCCTGGTCTCCCGCCCCCAGATGTGGCTGTCAGAGACAGGCAAGCCCAGGTCAGAGCTGCAGTGGGGACTTCCCCTGTCAGAGACTGTCACCTGTCACATGCCTTCAAGCTGGGATGGAGGACACAGTGCAGGAGGTGATATGAGCATGTGCCCCTGCTCCCTGGTGGGAGGCTGTGTGCCAAGGGGCTTGGCCGCCCCCAGCTCGCTGCCCACAACCTCCCTTGCCGGGACCACCACACGCCTGGACTCCTTGGCTGTGGCTCTCAAAACTATCCGTGCAGAGCTGCAGCCCAGACGTCGCAGAGGCCCTCGAGTGAGGCCGCGTCGTGACGTTCCATGTAACCGGGAGAACGAGTCTGAGGTTTATGACACTGCCTGGCCTTCAGCCAATAAGGAGGGCCAGAGAAGGCAGCGGCGACCACACTGGTTGGCGTCTCCTTGGCACCCCAGGGTTGCCGCATGCTCAGTAAACACAGGGCTGTGGGGGACGTCACCCAGTCCTGGCCCAGCTTTAGGGGACACTGGTCACCAGAGCTGGAGGGAAGAGGCCACATGGACTGCACATCACCAGAAAGCCCAGAGGTGTGGCACGCAGAAGGATGCCGGGAGGCCGGGCAGGGCTGAGTGCACAGCGCCCAGGGGCCGCATGTGGGGCCTTCACTCTGGGCAGGGATCTGCTCCCGTCAGGTCCTGCTGTCTGCCTGCACGCAGTTTTCACAGGTCTGGGCTGAGAGGCCCCCACCGAGCGGTGGCTCTTCTCTTTTTTCTTGAGTTTTTTTTTTTTTTTTTTGCTATAGGGCACTCGCGCTTCCCATAAAGAGAGAGATAGAGAGACAGAAAGCGAGAAATCACCCCCCCGGGGGATGGCCACGCCGCAATCCCTTCTCCATTCTGCTCTCGGGATCTTGGGCACACACGCACACACGCCCGGCCTGAGTTTTAGCCAACAGGTCCAGGATGCGAACCACGGTCAACTACGTGGGAGTCCAGCGACATAGCCATTACGCTAACTGCTGGTCCCCTGAGCGGTGGCTCTTAGGCTGCTGTGATCAGGAGTCTGTGGGCTCCGAAACCCGCCAGGTGGGCGCGTTTACACCAGAGGGGCGGGTGCTGCCAACGGGGCTCTTCCCCAGGAGCTGCTGCCAGACGTTTGCAGCGCCCACTCTCGTATGGCTCGCCTCCTCCCACCCCAGCCCCCCAGCCCAGAGTGACAGGGCTTCGAAACCTGCCCACTGCCCCAGCACGGGGAGCCCCTTAAACACCGATCTCCCGCCTGCACCTGCCCTGCGGCTCCCAGAGGCTCCCCAGGATGAGCTGGTGCTCACCCCCCCAGGCTGGTAGCTCGGTGGGAGGGCAGCCATGCTGGTGTGCTAATGGCGATGAGGCTGCATCTTCACTGCCAGCCAGAGGCGCTTATGCCGGAGACAGCCTGGGGGTACCTGCCTCTCTCCCACACCCCTACCCAGCCAGAGTCTGGGATTCCCCTGACCACCACCCCTCCATGCTAACCCCCCAGGTCAATCTCTCAACTTCTCACCCGAGGGCCCTGCTCGACATGACAGCACACTGCCGTGAAAACATCAGACTAACTTCCTTGCCCACCTGAGACCGCCCAGGGGCTCTGACTGACTCAGTGAAGCAATGCCCGTGTTACGTCTGACGGGCCAAGGGCACAGGGCCCTCGGCCTCTCTCCTGGCCCGGACGGCAGCTGGCCAGGCCCTTCCAAGGACTCTAGGAAGTTCCTAGAGCCCTCTCCCCATTGGGACCGCAGGCAGCAGCTCCCTAGGTTTCGGTCTCGGTCCCACACTGCCCCCTGCCCTGTCCCCACTGGGCCCTAGAGCACTCAGCCAGGTGCTGGACACAGCCACACCTGTCGGTCCACGCTTGCTCAATGCTGGAGGTCACGACGGGCTGTGGCAGTCTGTGGGCACACCCCACCACTAGCTCGCGTCACTGGATGGCCTGGGCAGCTGCTCACTGCCCAGCAGCAGCACTAGTGACCCCAGCGAGGCCGGTGACGCTGAGGAGGCACCTGCAAAACCCTGGCACCCAGCAGGTACACCCAATCCACGGAGACCATGCAGGACAGTCCAGACTCCCCGTCCCAAACATAAACACTGCCACTGAGATGGGGCGGGGCACCAGGCACTCGATCTCTGCAGAGCTGTATGGTCATTTTGTTTTGCTTGTTTTGTTTTTGGTGGGTCTTTTTCTTTGGAGAGATTTTTGCTATGGGGCACGTGCACTCGCCAGAAAGACAGAGAGAGACAGACAGAGAGCAAGAAATCATCCCCCCCCAGGGGAATGGCCATGCCGCAATTCATTCTCTTCCATTCTCCTCTCGGGATCTTGGGCACACACACTCTTGGGCACGCACGCACACTCACCTGGCATGAGTTTAAGCCACCAGGTCTGGGACTTGAACCATAATCAATTACATGGGAGTCCAGCGACATAGCCATTACACCAACTGCTGGTCCCAAGAGCTGTATTTATTTTTTTAAGAATAATTTATTTATCTTAATTCCACTTATTATGGTTTAATCTGACGAGAGAGACGGAGAAAGGGAGAGGGGGGGAAAGCAAGCCTCCAGGTCCAGGACTTGAACCACAGTCGGCCATATGGGAATCCAGCATCCTTAGCCACCACGCCAACTGCCGGCCCTGTATGTTTTTTTAATTGAGCTTTTTTGGTTTTGGACAAAATTTTCCTTTTGCCACTGAGGCGGCTTGTTTTCCCCTAAAGATTTAATTTATCATTATTATTTTTTAATTTGCCCCAGGGCACGTATACTCACTAGAGACACAGCACGAGAGGGAAAGTGAGGAAGCAAGCTGCCAGGTCCGGACTCCCACCAGTCAGCCACGTGGGAGCCGTGCCTTAGCCACCACACCACCTACTGACATTGCCCGGGCCAGCCTTGAGCTCGCGATGCCCCACCTCGGCCTCCCGCGTCACTGGACTGGAGGCACAGGCTGTGCTCAGCCTTGGGTTGGTCCCGGGCAGAGGACACGTGCCACCCGCATGCACCCTGCAAGAATGTCACTACAACCCCTGCTGCCAGGGCCGGTGTCCCCACTTGGTGTCCTGACTCAGGAGGCGATGCACAGTCCTCCCCGGATCCCAGCCCAGAAACAGGCACGGAGCTCCTGGGTAACCAGACAGAGGGGAGAGAGGGGCAGACGGTGGGCAACAGGGGCGGTGGGGGGGGGTGCTCAAGCCCTTCCATTCCCGCATGCCTGGGAGACGTCTCGCCAGCAGGGGGGACTCAAGTGGAGAGGACGGGGTGTCCAAGCTGACCCTGCGCCCCGAGCCCCAGGCCCCCGTCCACAGCACACTGCACCCTCTGTGCCAAGGGCTCGTCACACCCACCGACACCTCCCCCAGTAGGACAGGCAAGCCCAGGTCAGAGCTGCAGTGGGGACTTCCCCTGCCAGAGAGAACTAGGGAGACCCACACTCGTCCCGGAACCCCTGCCCCACAAGGAGGCGGAGGAGAGGATGGACAACTGACTGGACCTGCAGCAGCCCCGGACCCCTGCCTTGTCTGTGGGAGGCTCAGAGACCACCCAGAAGACGGGCCAAGAGACACTTCCACGATGAAATGGCTAACAGACTAGCCCACGGGTTCATGCCCGTGAACTCAGGAGCAGACGAAGCCACAGTGGGTGTGGAGGTCCCTAAAAGGTGACGGGGGGGGGCGGGGACCGAGGGGGAGGGCCCAGCCCCTGCCTCCGCACTTCACGGGGGTGGGACTGCAGGGAAAATGCCATGGAGTGTGCAGCCAGACTGATGGTGGCAGCCTGTCACCCCCCGACAGGACACCGGTGAGGTCAGAATGCCAGACCTGTTCCCCAGACGGCAAAGCCCAGGCACCATCCTCTCCTGAGCGCTGCGCTCCAGGGTTGGGCGTAAAGCCCTCAGCGTGGTGGTGGGCTCGGGCTTGCTGTCCTGAGCTCCATGGGGACAGTCGACGAACAGCACGGTCCTGCCCCTGCCTGCCAGCACGGACACAGGGCAGCCTGGCGGGGCCAGCTGCCGGCCATGGGGTCTCTCCCAGGACCCTGGGTTCAGTGGGAACAGCGAGTGCAGCCGCAGGAGCCGGGGCAGGGAGACACGGACACGGGCCCTGCAGGAAGGCAGCTGGGAGGGGTGTTTGTCCGGGTGGCCGCCAGGCCCAGGTCTCACCTGTGAGACGGTTACCCAGAGCCTCCCACCACACCAGACGGCAAGGGGTACCCACGCTTCACACTCACGAGGACATCTGAGGGGCCAGAAAGAAAAGGAGGGGCCTCTGGTTCAAGTCACCTGGGGAGGGGCTGGGGCCGAGGGCTGAGGACAAGTCGGTACAGGTTTGCCACTTCTGCGGCTTCCAGGAAGGAAGAGAAAACAGAATCCCGTCTGGGCAGGCGGCCGCCCCTTGGCCGCCATGAAAGGGGACATTCTGAAGTCAGAAGCGGGCGGCACGAGGTGGCGCCTCCCAGGCCGGGACGGCGTTCCGCCCCAGACGAACGCCCCAGACGGCAGCGGGTGGCACTCCGCGAAGGCCAGCCCCCCACCAGCTGTGAAGGGGCAAGGTTTCGTCCAAAAGAACTAGAGACGCCTCCCTACCCAGAGCCTTCTCCCCGGAGCGGGGATGACGACAGGGCATCGCAGCAGGGGCGGGGATTTGAGGGGACCTCCAGGCCACGGCTTTGATAACCCTCCGGAACCAGCGCCACTGCTTCCTCGGTGATGGCTGTGCCGCAGCTAGTGTTCTTTTTCAGGTTTTCGCCAAATCGGGTACACATGCTTGCTGGACAGAGACCGCCCCAGCGAGACAGCTACTCTGCGGCAGCCACGCTTCGCTCAGGGCCTGGGGTGCACAGCACACACACCCAGTGTGAATTTCTTCTTTTGAGAGAGATTTTTGCTATAGGGTGCATGCCCACCGGAGACAGAGAGGCAGAAAGTGGGAAATCGCCCCCAGGGGGTGGCCACACCACAGCCCCTTCCTGATTCTCTCAGGACCTTGAGTGCACACACATGTGCCCGGTGCAAGTGTCAAGCCACTGGGTCCAGGACTCTCAACGCGGTAGGCGTGTAGGAGCCCAGCGATGTAACCACTACACCATCTGCGGGTCCCCCACAGCAATTTTCAAGCTGCCAGGTCTGGGGCTCCAACTGCAGTCGGCCATGTGGGAGTCCGGCACCTTAACCACCACGCCCCCTGCCGGCCGCATGTACTGAAAAGACAATGAAGGAGATCTGCCTGAAGTGTGCTACCAGGAAACCAGGGTGAGGGGATGGGAACGGAGGAGAGGGCTGCCATGGTAACAGGATGATCTGCAATGCTGAACCCACACAGGGAAGTCCCAGGTTCAAATCCCAAGGTCTCCCTGTACAGGCTGGGCCCATGCACACACAGGCCCGTGATCTGAGCTAGCTGAGGCAGGGGGAGGCAGCCACACAGAGACCCCACTGGGGAGTACCTGTCCCACCCTCTCCCATGCAAAAATAAACTAATTAAAAAAAAAATAGAACGGGGTCTGGGACTCGCAGATAGCGTAGTGGTTACGTCACTAGACTCCCGCATAGTTGATCGTGGTTCAAGTCCCAGACCCAGAGACTTAAAACTCACGCCAGGCGCATGTGCACTCAAGATCCCAAGAGGAGAACGCAGACGGGACTGTGGCGTGGCCATTACTCCTCGGGGGTAATTTCTCGCTTGGCAAGCACACACACCCTATCGCAAAAATCTCTCAAACAAACAAAAAAAAAGAATGGGGTCAGGAGAAAACAGGCCTGGCCTGGAGGCTCACGTCCAGAGCCCCCACTCTGGCCTGAGACCTCACCGCAGGAAGGGCTGACCACCCTCTCCCAGCCGTCAGAGCCCTGTATCCACAGCACGGACACACCCTGTGCTGTCCAACAGCTGGGACCGCGGGGACAGCGACCTGCTCCCACTGCTCACCTGCACCAGGCAGGGAAGAGACAAGAGGACCTCGAGGAGACGCGGGGCCGGGGCGGCACTCAGAATGGCCCAGGACTTGGTGAGACATGTAGGTGTGCCTCAGAGTCCAAACACGAGTTACGCAAACTCTGCAGGCCCCAAAGCCTGCCTTGCACCCCACCTACTTGGGGGTCAGCAAGTGCTCTTCCGGGGGAGCAGAGGGTCTGGCTCAACTCATAGCTTGGGGCCCAAGGGCACCCTCTACACCAGTGGAGCTGGAAACCGGCCTCCCAGGGCCGAAGGTGTGCTAAGCACGCATGATACAGAGTCTGAGCCCATAGCACGGGGGCTGGTGACATGAGCCAGGCAGCCACGCCACCCCAGGCAGCAGCTCCGTCCCGATAAACGCCAGACCACAGCAGGCAGGGAGCTGGGAGACCGCAAGGGAAGCCTCCAAGGAACGCAGCCCATTGCTCGGAGGGGCACACGGAAGCTCAGAGATTACCTGGGCCCACCTTCCCTGGCCCCGGCTCTGCAGCTGGCCACCTGGCGGGGCCACTCATGCTGCCCCAGCACAGGCAGAGGCCACCCTTGCCAATCCGGGTAAAGCCAGACTGAAAAGCCTTTGGCCGGAGAGGATCCGAAACTGTCCAGAGCGGAAACTCTCAAACCACAGAAGTCCTCAAGCACCAAGTGGAAACCAGAGATCAGAGGGTTCTGGCGAGATCCTCGAGGACCCACAGGGCTACAGAGGAGGTTTCCACCTTGCAGTGCCCAGCAGGGGAGGGTAGAGGCCAGGCACTGGTCCCACCCGCTCCCTCTCCAGGAACCCTGAGCACGCTGGGCCTGGCTGGTGTCCCACACACACAGAGGCAGACTGGCCCAACCTACCTATCCTCCCCCTTGCTGGGTGGCCTTGGGCAGGCCCTCGCCATCTCTGGCTGGGAAGCTGCAGGCCACCTCCTCGTCCCTGCACTCTGCCTGCCTCCCCCACAGGGCGAAGGCCTGGGTAAGCAGCAGCTATGCAGGCCCAGGTCTGGGGGCTCCCAGCAGGGGCGCTGAGATCTGAGGGTAAGGTCCTGTGGCAAGGAAAGGGGGGCGCTGGCCATGAAGGAGCCTCAGAGGCAGGAGTCCCTGAGCTGTCCTGTCCCTGCCCTGTCCCCCTACTGTCATTAAAGCAGCCTTCTTGCTAAGTGGGGCACCTCCTCCCTGGGTCTCAAATAAGGGCACACAGGTATGGCTGCCAACAGCCCTGGTGCCCCCTTGCCCTGCTCAGATCCACTGTCCCCACCAGCACCCCTATCCTTACCAGCACTACCATCCCACCAGGCCCCCCACCAGCATCCCTACCCCACCAGCACCACCACCCTTCAAAAGGCTGACTCGTGGGGACAGGTATAGGCCACTCCCTTCATACACCATTCCAGAGATCCCCATATTCCAGGGTTCCTATACCCCGGGGGGCCATACCCTGGGGTCTCTCCCCCTGTACCCCTGGAAGTCCCCATGCGAGATGCCACTGTTTCCCTGCAGCCTGGAGCTCCCTGCTGCCCCTCTCGTGTGGCACTAGTGGAAGTCACAAGGGCTGTGTCTTCCAGTCGGGGAAGGGGAAGGAGGCACGGGGGTGATGGGCCCACAGCACAGGAGGTGACCCAGCCTGGAAAAGCCAGAGGGGGTGGGACAAGGCCACCCAGCCCCACCTCACACTCACGGCCACTGCCCCACGGGACTCTTGTGATCATCGTGCTGTGATCAGCCCTGGCAGACGAGCAAGTCCGCCCTGAGGCCAGGCCACCCCGAGGCCGCTGTGGCACCTGTGCCCAAGCGGCTAAAGGGGGCCTGCCCGGCCCACGCAGCAAACGGCAGCCACCTTTGGGCCGGCCC